GGGATGGGTGACAAAGGGAACACCTGGAATATTGGGAATGTCGGGATAGGGATGGAGGTGGGAACAGGGAGCCGCTGGTTTTCCGGGAATTCTGGTTGTTCCTGATGGAAAAATCTGGGATTCTCAGGACTGGGATAGGTGATAGACAGGAGACTGGGAATGTTGGGAATGTTGGGAATGTCGGGATAGGGATGGAGGTGGGAAGGGGGAGCTGCTGGTTTTTTGGGAATTCCGAGTGTTCCTGGTGGGAAATTTGGGATTCTTGGGGTGTCCTGGGGCCGGGATGGGCGATGGAGGGGATACTGGGAATATTGGGAATGTTGGGATTGGAATACTGGGAATGGAGGTGGGAAGGGGGAGCCGCTGGTTTTTTGGGAATTCCGAGTGTTCCCGGTGGGAAATTTGGGATTCTTGGGGTGTCCTGGGGCTGGAATGGGGATAGAGGGGACACTGGGAATGTTGGGAATGTTGGGATAGGGATGGAGGTGGGAAGGGGGAGCCGCTGGTTTTTTGGGAATTCCGAGTGTTCCCGGGGGAAAATTTGGGATTCTTGGGGTGTCCCGGGGCCGGGATGGGTGACAAAGGGAACACCTGGAATATTGGGAATTTTGGGAATGGCGGGATTGGAATACTGGGAATGGAGGTGGGAAGGGGGAGCCGCTGGTTTTCTGGGAATTCCGAGTGTTCCCGGTGGAAAATTTGGGATTCTTGGGGTGTCCCGGGGCTGGGATGGGTGACAAAGGGAACACCTGGAATATTGGGAATGTTGGGAATGTCGGGATAGGGATGGAGGTGGGAAGGGGGAGCCGCTGGGTTTTTGGGAATTCCAAGTGTTCCCGGTGGAAAATTTGGGATTCTCAGAACTGGGATGGGTGGTAGACAGGATACTGGGAATATTGGGAATGTTGGGAATGTTGGGAATGTCGGGATAGGGATGGAGGTGGGAAGGGGGAGCCGCTGGTTTTCTGGGAATTCTGAGTGTTCCCGGTGGGAAATTTGGGATTCTTGGGGTGTCCCGGGGGTGGGACTGGGGATGGAGGGGATACTGGGAATGCCGGGAATGTTGGGAATGTCGGGATAGGGATGGAGGTGGGAAGGGGGAGCCGCTGGTTTTTTGGGAATTCCGAGTGTTCCCGGTGGGAAATTTGGGATTCTTGGAGTGTCCCAGGGCTGGGATGGGTGAGAAAAGGAGGGTTGGGAACGTTGGGAATGTTGGGAATGTTGGGATAGGGATGGAGGGGGGAAGGGGGAGCCGCTGGTTTTCTGGGAATTCTGAGTGTTCCCGGTGGAAAATCTGGGATTCTTGGGGTGTCCCGGGGCCGGGATGGGTGAGAAAAGGAGGGTTGGGAATGTTGGGAATGTCGGGATAGGGATGGAGCCGGGAATGGGGAGATGGAGATGGGAACGGGGAGGTGTCGGAGCCGCCGGTTTTCCGGGAATTCCGGGCGTTCCTGATGGAAAAATCTGGGATTCTTGGGGCGTCCCGGGGCTGGAATGGGTGAGAAAAGGAGGGTTGGGAATGTTGGGAATGTTGGGATAGGGATGGAGCCGGGAATGGGGAGATGGAGATGGGAACGGGGAGGTGTCGGAGCCGCCGGTTTCCCGGGAATTCCAGTTGTTCCTGATGGAAAAATCTGGGATTCTTGGGGTGTCCCGGGGCTGGAATGGGTGAGAAAAGGAGGGTTGGGAATGTTGGGAATGTTGGGAATGTTGGGATAGGGATGGAGCCGGGAATGGGGAGATGGAGATGGGAACGGGGAGGTGTCGGNCATTCCCGAAATTCCCGCCGTTCCCATGGAATCCCAGTGCGACTATTCCATGTATTTCCCGGCCGTGCCCTTCCCGCCCCGGGAATTCCTGGCGGGAGAATCCGGAGGGTACCGGGCCCTCCCCCGCCGGAACCACCTTTACCTGGGAGAGACCGTCCGCTTCCTGCTGGTGCTCCGCTGCCGCCCCGGGAATTCCGGGAATTCTGGGAATTCCGGGAGCTCCGGGAACGCCGGGAACGCCGGGAATTCCGGGAATCCCGGGAACAACCCCCCTCGCCCCCCCTGGGCCGAACTGGCCACCTCCTTGTCCGCCTTGGCCACGGTGGCTCCCGGAGGAGGAGCCGGGGATTCCTCGGGAATTCCTCGGGATGGGGACGGAGCCGGGAATGACGAGGGGGACGGGGAGGACCCGGAGGCTCCCGCGGTTTTCCGGGAATGCCGAGCGCTCCTGACCCACAGCAAGGGGCCCCCCGGCTGCCCCGGGGCCGGGGTGGGTGACGGAGGGAACGGCGGGAATTTCGGGAATGTTGGGAATGGCGGGATTGGGATGGAGGTGGGAAGGGGGAGCCGCTGGTTTTTTGGGAATTCCGAGTGTTCCCGGTGGGAAATTTGGGATTCTTGGGGTGTCCCGGGGCTGGGATGGGTGACAAAGGGAACACCTGGAATATTGGGAATGTCGGGATAGGGATGGAGGTGGGAACAGGGAGCCGCTGGTTTTCCGGGAATTCTGGTTGTTCCTGATGGAAAAATCTGGGATTCTCAGGACTGGGATAGGTGGTAGACAGGAGACTGGGAATATTGGGAATATTGGGAATGTTGGGATAGGGATGGAGGTGGGAACAGGGAGCCGCTGGTTTTCCGGGAATTCTGGTTGTTCCTGATGGAAAAATCTGGGATTCTCAGGACTGGGATAGGTGGTAGACAGGAGACTGGGAATATTGGGAATATTGGGAATGTTGGGATAGGGAT